CTCACCCCCAATCCATGGATTGTTTTCCCTTCAGTGCAGGACTTCAAACTTGTTACTAAATTATAGTATTTTGTTATTTGACAGAAGTAAACTAAGCTTCTTCTTGAATGAAATTGGAATACTTACTATATTTAGCAACACTAAAAAGTTTTGCAAATTATATTTAGAAAAGCTCTGGCTTAAACAATGTTTTCATATCATTAATATTATATGCTTAATTGAAAACTTGATCCTTTTTATCTTGTTTTGTTTCTATAGTTCATCATGCTGTTCTGATTCTTTAGTTGATGTAATGTCACTCATCAGTACCAAAATGTAAACTCTAAAACATAAAAGTAAATTAGTTTCCTTGTATTAGTGGGATGAATAAGAGATCCCTATAAATTTGTTATCTTAAAAAAAAAGTTATATCATACTTTCAAAAGACCCTTTTGTGTAAAATTTTCCTTAAAAAGTTTACTTAACTGCTCTGAATTTTGGAAGTTTTACTAACAATGTGAAAAGAATGTGGTCAAATTTCATTCATAGTTTTTAGGCTTTGCTTAGAAGATTGAACAGTTTTTAATGAAATGGAAATTTGTCTTGGTTTTAAAAACCAATAGTAGAAGATAAACTGTAACGGTTATTGAGTAAGGTAAACAGATACTAAAATAAATTAATACTGATGCTTTAGAAAAGTATTTCTCTCCACCCTCCTCCAAAAAGAAGAAAAGAAAAACAACCCTGAGATTTCCTGTTTGTCTTTCCATTGAGATTTCCTATGTTTTGCCCTCAAATCATTGTTAATCAGTGTTTTGAGTTCCATTGCCACGCTTGACCTTCTTTATCCTGGCAGGTAGGTAGCAACCACTTTATATTAAACTAAAACAAGTCTTGTAGAGCGTTCAGTTTGTTTGTACTGGAATGCAGACCTTTTTTTTTTTAAGTTTTGAAGAGCATGAGATTGCTTCTTTAGCATTTAGCAGTTAAGAAAGTATGAGGAACTACGGTCATGAAATTTGTACTTTATCTGCCTTAAGTATAAACAATGAGGTAAACAATGATTTTATTTGGAATCACTTATAAAGTTACTTATGAAGTTTATAAAATCAGTTGCCTTTACCACTATTAGTAAAATAAAACGAATCCTCCCTTGGCTCTCTCTTCAAACTATAAAGCAAAGATTATAACTTAGAAAGACAGCAAAAAAAAGCATATGGATAAAAAATTCCACCTCTGCAGCAGATAAGGACGTGTGACAGATATGCAGCAAAATATGTCCTCATCTTTTTGACCCACTTCAGTGTACTTTTCCAGTAACTCATTGCATTTCAGGAGGATTATGGCAAATCTCACACATCGATCACCTTTATGATTGTTTTATGATTGCTACATGATCCATATAACCTCGATAATTCCTTTTTCCTCTTTAGATTCTCTGTGCATAATCCTTTATAGTCCCATCACAACATTCACCACCTAATTTAATGATTATTGGCTGGTGCCTGGCTCAGAGTTGTTACCTAAATAAATATTTCTTGAATAAATTAATGAAAAAAAATAAATTGTTTAAAATGGCTATCAAAGGTTTCTTTCTGGAGCAGTGGTACAGATCATACTGTTATACTCTGACTTGCATTTATTCCACACGTAATTGAAGCCCTAACATAAAAGTTACTGTTTAAAAATAACATTTAAGAGAGCCACTTAGTTTGAATATATGATACATGCACAAGGTACAAAAATGAAAAGGTACAAATGATATGGAGTGAAGAGTAAGTTCTCACTAACCCCACCCTCATCACCACCACTGCCTTGCCTCTAGTCACCGTTTTCCTGTTTCAAGGTCATCATACTTACCAGTTTCAAAGAGATTTTAATGAATAAAAGAATTATGAGAGTTGTCCCCCAAAATAACAAGTTCCTTGCAGATCTGCAACTAGAAAGGGACAGATAATGTCACTGATATTTTTCATGCCTCAATGAGATGAAGACTCAAGAACTCTTCAAAGAATAACATAAGCCGTGAAAACCATAAAAGTGAGTCAGTGTGATGCTATCGTTAAACTTTCCAATGTAGAACGGCAGCGTGCTCACTGAGAGAGAATGTTTTGTTTCTGAAACATTTTTTGATCAAAGGTTTGCTTTCTGACAGAGTAGGTTCGCAGTGAAATTGACCTTATTAGAACTAGGGGTAGACATTTTCCTTTCTACCTTGCGTTCCGCACTAGGTGATGGAGCCTCCAAAGAGTGGCTTACCTGTTTGTCAAAGGTGATCGCAGTGGAATGTGTACATATTTCCTGAACTGTGATGGCTTCTAAGGAGCCATCTGTGGGAGAGGAGGAAGGAAGGGAGGTGTACTGAAGAGGTGCTTTCCCATCCTGGTGAAATGAATAAGCAGCCTCATCAATAGAAAAAAAAAATAAGTCTTTACTATCCTGTTTAATGTTATAAAAAGTATCCAGTACTTTAATACTTAAAAAGTCCTTCCTTTTGTCAAAAGCTAAACAGAACCTGTAGGATGAAGCATCTGTGTGTTCCAGAATAATATAGACCTGGGTGATGGGTAGCTAGATCTCTCTTGTGCCCTAATCAAAATGAAAGGCCAAAAAGTTACATATCGCTATTGAGAAAACCATGATTCATTTACCCCACCTCAGAAAACAGTAAAAATGAAATCAGTCAACCTACAAGTAAAATCAACAGTCAAATGTACTTTTCCCAGAACTTTTAGTGAAAAAGGACATTGAGCCACCATGAAAGTTCAAAAGGCTAAAAAGGGTAAATCATTTTATTTTAATTTTATTTTTAACATACTTAATATTTAACCAAAAGATGGGCTACCAAGTTTAGGCAACTGGCTAAATATTTAGAAAAAAATAAAATTAATTCCATACGTTATAACAAACACGAAATGAATCCCATCTGGATAACATATTTAAATATCAAAATTTTGAGCGTTTATAAGTAAACAAACAAACAAATCTGTAAAAGTAATATTCTAAGTAAAAGTTTCTTAGTGTGTATTAGGTATATAGATATTCACGAAACTTTTGGAATACTCAGTCCAGAAACTATAAAGAAAAAGATTGTATCATTTGACTATACAAAACTTCTTCCCAGAAACAATAAAAGGTCAAAGGACACAAATATGAAAAATTTTAATAGAAAAATTCATTTGGGCCCTGACCGGTTTGGCTCAGTGGATAGAGACCAGTTTGGCTCAGTGGCTAGAGCGTCAGCCTGTGGACTGAAGAGTCCCAGGTTCAATTCTGGTCAAGGGCATGTACCTTGGTTGCGGGCACATCCCCAGTAGGGGGTGTGCAGAAGGCAGCTGTTCGATGTTTCTCTCTCATGGATGTTTCTAACTCTCTATCCCTCTCCCTTCCTCTCTGTAAAAAATCAATAAAATATATATTAAAAAAAGAAAAATTCATTTGGATAATAAATTTATGAAACCAATTGATTGTCTCTTATGGGTTGAATTGTGTCACCTCCAAATTCATATATTTAAGTCCTAAAGCTCAATACCTTAGAATTGATACTATTTGAAGATGAGGTCTTCAAAGATGTAATTAAGTTAAAATTAGTTCATTAGACTAGACCCTAATTCAATAAGACTGTGGTATCCTTGTTTGATGAAATTTGAACACAGACATATACTAGTACACAGGGAAGACTATGTGAAGACACAGGGAGAACACCGCTGTCTATAAGGCAAGAGGCCTCAGAAGAAACCAACTCTGCTGACACCTTGTTCTCAGACTTTCAGTCTCCAGAATTGTGAGAAAAAAAATTCCTGTCGTTTAAGTTACTGGATATATGGTAAATTGTTATGGCAGTCCTACCCAACTAATGCAAATTAAAACAGCAATTACAACTCTCAAACTGGTTAAGAGAAATTAAGCAAATATTTTTCTCAGTGCTGTTAAAAGTGTTCATATACTGTTGGCAGTAGTATAAATTTGTATTACTGCCCAGCTGGTATGGCTCAATGGTTGAACGTCGACCTGTGAACCAGGAGGTCAAGTCAGGGCACATGCCCGAGTTTTGGGCTCAATCCCCAGTGGGCAGCATGCAGGAGGCAGGCAATCAATGATTCTCTCTCATCATTGATGTTTCTATTTCTCTCCCTCTCACTTCCTCTCTGAAATCAATAAAAATGTATTTAAAAAAATAATAAGTTGGTATTACTTTTTGAAGGACAATTTGAAAATAATATTGGAAATCTTAAAAATTGAATACTTTGACCCACCAATTATAATACTTCTGAGAATGAATCATATGGAAATAATCAACATTACACAAGATGCTCATTAAAGCCCTGTATATACATGTGAAAAATTGTAAATCTCCTAGATAACAAAATTTAAAGAACCAGTTTAAGACACCAATTCTTAAACTAATTCTTGTTGATGATAATTATATTATTACTTTTATATTACTTTGTATTTTACCAAGTTCTTCCACAGCCATGAGCTCAAATTATATTCATTGGATGTTTACTATTTTCTAGGCACTATGCTAAACTGTGAATAAGACAGGGAATAAGAGGAGGGACTTAACCGAGTGTAGGAAGTCAAGGCAATAGGCTGGTTTTGTTGTTGTTATCAATCTTTTTTTTTCTATTTTCTTAAGATACAATTGACATATAACATTGCATAAATTATACAACATGATGATTGATATCTACAATAATAAAAGCGTAATATGCTATTTAGACCAGACAGCCGAACAACCTTCCAGATGTCCTTCTGGACAACCTTCCAGATGAAGCCGGGGCTGCGAGGGCCGAGCTCCTTGCACGAATTTCGTGCATTGGGCCTCTAGTGTGTATATATTGCAAAATGATCACCACAATGAGGTTAGTTAATCTATCACCTCACATAGTTACAATTTTTAAGATTTACTCTCTTAGGAACTTTCAAAGTAGGTGGTTGAAACCTGCCTCAAAATGACACCAGAATAAACTCATGAAGAAAGCCCAGCTTAGTTCTGTGCTTGTTGAGATAAGGGATATCACTATCATCACTGACTCTTAGTAGTTTCTCAGAAGGGTGAAGGCAAAGGCAAGACACTTATGAGATTTTGGGGTCTGGATTAAGGTGGCTATTTTGATGCAGAGCTTGATCAAAATTGGGCAGGTTTCTGACACACTTGTTCAGGATTGGTAGACACAGCAAGGTGACAACTTCCAGGTTAGCCTCTAAGAGCAAACAATCTTTAGATGTTGTCTGTTTTCCTGAGAAAGTATATTTACTCTAGTGAGGGTAAATTGAACAGTCTAGTGTTCGAATTAATGGACTTTCAGGAAGTTCCTGGAACAAACAATAAAATTACTTGCCATTTCATCTTTCTGGGAAAGAATTTCCTGGCATAGTAACATCAGATAAATGTAGACAGTAAGCTTTTTGTGTGTAGACAGTAAGTTATTTTAATTTCTCAAAAGAAACCTTATTAAATTTCATTTAATCCACTATTTCTCCAACTCATTTGACCATCACAATCTTCTTCTTCTTTTTTTTTTCTCCATAAAACCTGTTAACATTTCAAAGAACAGACCATACCAAGCATTAGACTGGGAGATAATTTCCATGAGAGCATATGAACCAGTGGTTTTCAAAGGGTGGTCCAAAGACCAGCAACGTCAGCATCACTTGGGAACTAGTTAGAAATGGGTCCCACCTACTAATTCAGAAACTCTGGGGGTGAGGTCAGCAATCTGGGTTTTAATCCACCCTCTTGGGGACTCTGATGCACCCTAAAGTTTGAGAATCCATGCTGTCAGCCTTTTAAAAACTCTAACTACCCTTCCTCTTTTTCTTTTTCTGCCCTAATGCAGAATTGAAACATGCAGTTGTCTCAGCAGGCTACTACTTGGTATTCCTTCAAGGAAACAGTCTTTTATTATTTGTCTGCATGTATTTAGTGGAGATGGGGGCAGACATATTTTTTGTAAAAGCTGCATGTCCCTTTCTTTATATTGTGACTCATACTCTGATGTTCTCAACTCTTTTTTGAGTTCTTCAAAAACCATACTCTCTTTGCGCTAGATTAGGGCATTAGTGAGGAATATAAAATGTACTCAAGATTTTAGAGGAGAGCAGCAGGATAAAATGGTACCAGGATTTTGCTTTTTAAAAAAATACCCTCCCAGCCTTGCGATATCTCTTCTCCCAAACCTCTTTTCTGGACTTTGCAGTTCCTGGGTGGCCTTTCTCTTCCTGCTCCTGACCCCACACCTTCTCTCTGAACTTTTCTTCTAAGAACTGTTCCGTTCCAGTCTCATAAAAGTTTTGAAAGTTTTTACCCCCACCTTCTTCAAAGAAACGGAAGGAAATATATTGAGCCAGAAGACTTTGTTTGCCTTGTGAACAAAAGCATCCCCAGTTTCCAGACTCTAGGAAGGCTGTGCTGAGGGAAGGTGACTTCCACTTACACTCCCACACCTTGGCAGGGAGGAAACCTGAGTTACAATGGTATCGTGTTTCCAATTTGTTTGGGTCAGATTCCAGGGTCCCTTTTAGATGGTTGTTCTAACCTGAGCCCCCCTTCATGTGGTTGGGGTCCTGCAAACCACTCATTTGCCTCCCTCCTGGTGGTTATTGGGAGAATGCAGGCTGCACCGTAATTCAGGGACTTGGTCCAGGAAGTGGCACATCCAAAAGAGACATTTATAGCTACCCGAGAGGAGTATTCCCTGGTGTCAGACTTTGTTGCACATTAGAATCAGCTGGGAAGCTTTAAAAAGGTCACACCCTACAGCAGTGACGTTGGAATCCTTAGTGCAGACTTCAGGCACCAGTATTTTTTTCAAGCTCCCGTAGTATTTCCAATGTGCAGCCATTTGAGAACTGCTGGGCTACGTGGCGTACAAAATCAAAAACGATGCCAAGACGCTATAACCATTTTGTTCAAAGTGCTTCAAATCACAATGAGTTATATTTCCGTCACGCTCTCTGTTCCACAGATGTTACATGTGAAACACAAAGAGAAAATGTGACTCACACAAGGAAGACCACAGATGAACTGTTTAATAAAGGTGAATAGGAGATGTCACACTCCACTACCTCTGCTCCCATTTAAGCATAAAACATGGTAAATGCTGTATTATTCTTTGAGGTTTCCTGGGACCAAAAAGACTTTGGACCCCTTGCTGGTGTGACTCTGTTGGTTGGAGTATCGTCCTGTACACCGAGGGATTGTAGGTTAAATTCTGGGTCAGGGCACAGGCTGTGGGTTCCATCTCCAGTTGGGGTGTATACTGGAGGCAACTGATTGATGTTTCTCTCTCACATGGATGTTTCTCTCTCCTCCTCTCTTCCTCTCTCTCTAAAATACCTCCCCCACAAAAAGAGTTTGGAGAATGGGTGATACAGGAGATAATATAGGCAATTTGAATGGAATCACCCTGTATTAATTTATGTATTAATTTCTGAAAGGTTATATATCTGAGAAACCTGAAATTTGAAGAAGTAACATGGTCATGCTTTTTAAAAAAATTAATCATATAGTTTGGGTTTTAATAATAAAATGTGACTTAGCTGTGGGAAATGCTCACATGTGGTCAGAATCAACATCAAAATAGTTTAACCTTGTTGCATAGCAATTCACACCGTGTGATTCTGGAGACACTTCTGTTCACAGCTCTGGCTTAACACAAATGTCAGTCAGACAAAGGCACCCAGAGGCTACAGAACCCACATCCTGGGGGCTACAGAATATTTAAATTGCAGGGGTGAGGGGGAATATTCAAGGAAAGGAGTTGATAGGGGAAGAGTTTTTATTCTAAAAAATTAATGTTTTAAATTTAATTTCATATTTTTAATTAACTTTTTTTCCGATTAATTGAGGGCTGAAGTTAGAAATTACTAACTCCATCATTACCAGAAGGCGAATCAGTCAAAAGAAGGACATAGATTAATTTGAGCAGATCTGTGTGTTGGCTGCTTCTGTCACTTTCCTAGTTTCCTTTCCACTATTGAACTATTTCTGCACTGGGATGGGCAGGACAGACCCTTGTTAGAAGGAGAAGCCATTTGATTTGGGGGGATTACCGGAGTGGACGCCTCCTGTCAACCCCACTGAAAACCTGGCTTACCTGGAGACTGCACAGGATATCCTACAACTATATGAATGGAAGGCCAATATGACCCTAAAGACTTTGTCACAGAAGAGTTTTCCCCCCAGCCTGTGTTTGAGGCCTGGATTCTTCCAACACAGGTTCAGCCTTTGGAATAAATGTCACCTCCCTCATGACAGATCTTGTGGGTTCCCCACTCAATATCTACCCCCTATTCCTTGCTAACTTAGGGTTTTACCAGATAAAGCTCAGGGTGCCCAGTTAACTTTTCTAAAAAATATATTTTTTTGTTGATTTCAGAGAATAAGAGAGAGGCAGAGAGAAACATCAATTATGAGAGAGAATCATTGATCCGCAGCCCCCAGCACTCCCCCCACTGGGAACTGAGCCTGCAACTCAGGCATGTGCCCTTACCGGGAATCGAACCAGCAGCCTCTTGGTCAAACTAAGCATACAATGAAGAAAAGCATTCTCTTCAATACATGGTATTGGGAAAATTGGATGGGTACATGCAAAAAAAAAAAAAAGAAAGAAACTAGACTACCAACTTACACCATACACAAGAATAAACTCAAAATGGATAAAAGACACCT